TCTGCTCCAAGAGATTTATCGTGTGTGGGGGGGAGGGTTGTGCGCCGTACTGGAAGGCTGTGTGCGTAGGTGTACACCATGTATGAGGGTCTTTGCATACCTGTACGTTATAGTGTGTGTGTGTGTGTGTGTGTGTGTGTTGTGTGTGTGTGGTGTGTGTGTGTGTGTGTGTGTACGTCATATAAGAGTGTGTGCCTCATAAAAACTGCTGCATTGATTGTAGTGCTTGGGCGTGTATCATAGCATCTGTTGTATATCGTTTGTTTATTCTAGAGCGATTACTCCTGCAGCTGTGTCCTAGATTAGGCCTCCTGGTTGATATCGTGATCCATCAAGCTTTTGGCGTTTGAAGTAGTCTAATGTAGGCACCACAGCCCTGTTGATTCCGAAATGATCTGAGGAACTGATCTTGTTTCCTCGTGCAGACAGCCGAGGATTTGATTCATCTTATATATAGAGAGATGGATTTGAAAAGTCTATAACTACACTTGTTAATATCTCTTAGCGTACTTGTTGCACATCTGTTTAACATTAGGGAAATTCTGGTTGGTCTGCCTAGCCTCCCGTTCCCATAAGGAGAAATTTCAGTGTACAGATTTGGATCTAGTATCTTAAAAGCAATCCAGGTATAAATTACGATGCATTTTTCCCCGTGTGTTTAAAGGAATATACTTTAAGGGTCTTAGTCATTCCCAAAAATGTAGATGTATGACTGATATGTTACAGCGATAGTTCTTTATACATTCTCCAGATATTCAGTTTAACCTGCTTCAAATGTGCTGTTAGTGAACAGTAATATTTCAATGGAGAGAAAACAGTTGTCTTTAAGAGTATCATCAATGTCTTGGCATCTCTTGTTATGAAGGATCATATCCGGTCTATTACAGTCCTTGTAGTTCAGATAGTAACATCGTTTTGATACTTGAATGTAAGACTTTGTGACATCATTTCTCTTAAGAGTACTGACATTCCTCTTCCACTTTCTTGAATGGCTTATGTGTGTTTTTTACTCTGATCTATTTTTTGTCTTAATTTTTTCCATAAGAGAGAAACTTAAACTTGTCTTTCTTGGAGATCATGGCATTGTCTGTAGTCCACTGGCATGCTGGATGCCAGTCTCAAATTCTACTGTCGGCTGCGAAAAATTATTCGGTACTTGGAATTCCGGTTCTATTTAGGTCAAATATGATAATGCAAAAAGTGAATTTGGGCGAGCAGTGTACCTTGAGAACCGGAGCCTTTTTCTGTGATGGCTTTAGAGATTACTTTTTTTTGACAACCATTATTGGGTTCGACATGGAAATTATCGAGTTCGTTGGAAAATTAAAGATACATCATGACTCAAGAAATCGTAATGACAAGATTGAAAACAAACACGGTACGGGTAGGGTTAGAACTCATGGCAAGTGAATCGTAAACCTCCAGGACAGTGCGTTAGCCACTGGGCCAGATGGCTACAATAAGATTCATCCGACCAAGTATATTTATACACCACAGGGAGGTTAGCATAGTCACTACCGTGACTACAAATGCAAGTTTTTAGAGTCTAATCTCCCGCTAGCGTGACCGTGACGAACTCTAGCTCAAGTCTCCTCAAAGATGTCATCAGTGTGACCCATGCTAACCTCCCTATGGTGTATAAATATACCTAGTTTTAAGAGTGTCAGACAAACCTTGATGAGTGCCATACACCCCTGGTGAGTGCCAGACACCCCTTCTGAGTGCCATATGCTCCTGCTGAGTGTCAGACACCCCTGGTGAGTGCCAAACAGATACCCCTGCTGAGTGACATATCCCTGCTGAATGCCAGACGCCCCTGCTGAGTGCCTGACACCATTACTGAGTGCCAGACACCCGTGGTGAGTGCCAGACACCCCTGGTGAGCACCAGACAGCCCAGGTGAGTGTCAAGCACGCCTGGTGAGCGCCAGGCACCCCTGCTAAGTGCCAGCCACCCATACTGAGTGCTAGGCACCCTTGGTGAGTGTCAGACACTTCTGTTAAGTACCAGACACTCCTGGTGAGTGCCAGACACCCCTGGTGAGTGCTAGGCGCCCCTTGTGAGCCAGGCGCCCCTGCTGAGTGCCAGATACCCCTGAGAAGTGCCAAACACTTCTTGTTGAGTGCCAGACACCCTTGATAACTTCCAGACACTCCTGCTGAGTGACAGGCACCCTGCTGAGTGACAGACACCGCTGCTGAGTGCCAGGCACCCCTTCTGAGTGCCAGACACCCCTGCTGAGTGCTAGGCACCTCTGATGAGTGCCAGGCACTCTGATGAGTGCTAGACACCCCTAGTAAGTGCCAGACACCCCTGCTGAGAGTTCCAGGCACCCTGATGAGTGCCTGATGAAGCACTTCCTGTAAGAACAGTTAGATAGGAAATACCAGAGAACCTCGGAAATGTAAGGCATGTATTGTAGGTCATGAATTATGAAGGCATGTATTGTAGGTCATGAATTATGAAGGCATGTATTGTAGGTCATGAATTATGAAGGCATGTATTGTAGGTCATGAATTATAGAGAAATGTATTGTAGGTCATGAATTATGAAGGCATGTATTGTAGGTCATGAATTATGAAGGCATGTATTGTAAGTCATGAATTATGAAGGCATGTATTGTAGGTCATGAATTATAGAGAAATGTATTGTAGGTCATGAATTATGAAGGCATGTATTGTAGGTCATGAATTATGAAGGCATGTATTGTAGGTCATGAATTATAGAGAATGTATTGTAGGTCATGAATTATGAAGGCATGTATTGTAGGTCATGAATTATGAAGGCATGTATTGTAAGTCATGAATTATGAAGGCATGTATTGTAGGTCATGAATTATAGAGAAATGTATTGTAGGTCATGAATTATAGAGAAATGTATTGTAGGTCATGAATTATAGAGAAATGTATTGTAGGTCATGAATTATAGAGAAATGTATTGTAGGTCATGTTTATAGAGAAATGTATTGTAGGTCATGAATTATAGAGAAATGTATTGTAGGTCATGAATTATTTAGGTTCGTATTATTGGCCATGAATTATTTAGGCTTGTATTATTGGCCATGAATTATTTAGGCTTGTATTATTGGCCATGAATTATTTAGGCTTGTATTATTGGCCATGAATTATTTAGGCTTGTATTATTGGCCATCAATTATTTAGGCTTGTATTATTGGCCATCAATTATTTAGGCTTGTATTATTGGCCATGTATATCGGCGTGTAAACATTTACAGTTACCTGGGTCGTAAAGTAATGATCCATCACCTAAGGCTGTTACATTATCCTCATTAGAGTGCCTGAGAATGGAGCATCAACACTAACTTTATGAGATACACAAAGGCTGACTTCAATACCTTGTTTTCCTAACATTTTTGAAACTCTTTCTGCAGGTTAAGGAAATATTTACTTCTTGCTGTGAATATTCAAAAGAACCTGTTGCATATTGGTTGGTTAGTTGATTAATGGAGTTTAAAGCCTGTCGACTACACGAGGGTCATTAAGGCTGCTCGTAATCTTTTCACTACACTACAAGAATACTAGATTCTCGGTATACTAGATTCTCGGTATATATACGCTGAGAGAAATTCACCCCAAAGTGTATATATTCGCTTTTCAAATTACTTTCATTCAGTTAACGCAACTCAACACATGTTATGCTTCCCTTTTGCGTACTCCAGCACCTAGGATCTTCGTTCTCTTAGGTACCATACGGAAGACAACAAAATTTAACGTTTTCTCCCGTTCAGAAACCTAATTGGTTCTTTTAAACTAACTCTGGTGCGCTGCCTGAAACAATAAGATTTCAGACTGTGTCCACTCGCTGGTAACTCGTTCTTCAGGACGAGCTGCTGCTAATGACTGTCATTACCAAGGGCCCTCTGTCGATATCTGGCCACTCTGTTTGTGAATTATTATCCTGTTAATTAGGATTTATGAGGCGGCCGTTTTGAAGGAGACAGCATGTGTGTGTGTGTGTGTGTGTGATTACCAGGTCGTAGACAGGCAGGAGCTAAGCTAGGGTCGTCATGACCTGTCTCAAGACTTACTGTCAGACATTTCTTTTCATTACGTCATTGTATTAGTGTATACTCACATATTTGGGTATTGCTCACATATTTGTGTGTATTTATTTGCAGTCACCTATTTGTGGTTACAGGGAAGGGGGGGATGAGGGTCGAGTCTCAGATCCTGGCCCTTGCTGCCTGTAAGATATACACACTGCTAGCCTCATCCAGGTCATTCCACTTTCTGACCACTCTAAAGCTGAAAAAAATTCTTCCTGACATCCGTATGACTTATTAATGTCTATAGCGTCCAGCGGTGTTATTGTGCTCCCAAGCTCCGCCTCTCGAACAGTCTATCCTTGTTCACCCTATCAAGTCCTCTGAGTATTTTGTATGTCATTATCATATTTTCCCGGATTTTCCTATCCATTAATGCCATCAAGTTCAGTTTCCCTGTCCTTTCTCCAGAGGAATATGTTTATGTATATGTAATTACATATGTGCTTACGTGTGTCTATGTGTAAGTGCTTATGTGTTTATGGGTGTATATGCTTATGTGTTTGAGTATATGTTTATGTGAATATGTGCTTATGCATGTATATGTGTATATCATCATGTGTGTATCTCTGGTTATGTGTGTATATGTTTGTGTGTGGATGTGTGTATTAAAGTATAGATTATTTTCCCAAGAGATGGTGGAGCTCTTGAAAAATAGAAGATTATGCTATATTATTTACAGAACAATAATATTAACCATACTCTACGAATATTACTGCTAGTATTACTGCTGCTGCTGCTATAATAATAACAATTATTATTTATATGATCATCATTATTATTACATTAGAACCAATAGGAAGCAAAATTAAAGAAACACTTATCTAAAATACAGAGAATATACGTACTAGTGAAGCAGACAAGTACGTACAATGATTCAGTACAAGTATATATTATTATGTATTTTGTATTAATGTGTGAAATCTCTTTCTTTGCAGGACAAGGAGTTGCATCATGAAAAGAAGCCACAGTTTGACAACGCGGTACGACCTGTCTCAAATAACGTGATATATTTAACCTGTCTCTGTCAACGTGATCAACCTGTTTCTCTGCATGTGATACACTCAGTCTACCTCTCATAACGTGATACACTCAATCTACCTCTCATAACGTGATACACTCAATCTACCTCTCATAACGTGATACACTCAATCTACCTATCATAACGTGATACACTCAATCTGCCTCTCATAACGTGATACACTCAATCTGCCTCTCATAACGTGATACACTCAATCTACCTCTCATAACGTGATACACTCAATCTGCCTCTCATAACGTGATGCACTCAATCTATCTCTCATAACGTGATACACTCAATCTACCTCTCATAACGTGATACACTCAATCTACCTCTCATAACGTGATATACTCAATCTATCTCTCATAACGTGATACACTCAATCTGCCTCTCATAACGTGATACACTCAATCTGCCTCTCATAACGTGATACACTCAATCTACCTATCATAACGTGATACACTCAATCTACCTCTAATAATGTGATACACTCAATCTACCTCTCATAACGTGATACACTCAATCTACCTCTCATAACGTGATGCACTCAATCTGCCTCTCATAACGTGATACACTCAATCTGCCTCTCATAACGTGATACACTCAATCTACCTCTCATAACGTGATACACTCAATCTACCTCTCATAACGTGATACACTCAATCTACATCTCAAAACGTAATACACTCAATCTACCTCTCATAACGTGATACACTCAATCTGCCTCTCATAACGTAATACACTCAATCTACCTCTCATAACGTGATACACTCAATATACCTCTCATAACGTGATACACTCAATATACCTCTTATAACGTGATACGCTCAATCTACCTCTCATAACGTGATACACTCAATCTGCCTCTCATAACGTGATACACTCAATCTACCTCTCATAACGTGATACACTCAATCTACCTCTCATAACGTGATACACTCAATCTACATCTCAAAACGTAATACACTCAATCTACCTCTCATAACGTGATACACTCAATCTGCCTCTCATAACGTGATACACTCAATCTACCTCTCATAACGTGATACACTCAATCTACCTCTCATAACGTGATACACTCAATATACCTCTTATAACGTGATACACTCAATCTACCTCTCATAACGTGATACACTCAATATACCTCTCATAACGTGATACACTCAATCTACCTCTCATTCAACCTGTTTCTTTCAACGTGATTCACTTGATCTGTGCTTCAAATAAGAGGTGTGTAGTAACATCACAGGTCACAGTACCTTGTCTAGATCAATTTACAGTTGATTCAGACTGCGTGAAGGAAACGTTGGGCAGAAGACGTTTCGATCCCTTCAAGAATGTAATCAAGCCACTACTCCTACCTGGAGTATACCTGGAGAGGGTTTCGGGGGTCAACGCCCCAGCGGCCCGGTCTGAGACCAGGCCTTGTGGTGCGTCAGAGCCTGATCAACCAGGCTGTTACTGCTGGCCGCACGCAAACTGACGTACGAACCACAGCCCGGGTGGTCAGGTACTGACTTTAGGTGCCTGTCCAGCGCCTTCTTGAAGGCAGCCAGAGGTCTATTGGTAATCCCCCTAATGTATACTGGGAGGCAGTTGAACAGTCTTGGATCCCTAACGCTTATTGTGTTGTCTCGTCTCTCAGTGTACTCGTGGCGCCTCTTCTTTTCATTGCGGTCATGAACTGACCAATTCATTCTAATGAAGACACTAGAGTACTCCAGGAAGATTTGAATAGACTGATGCAATGGTCGGAGAAGTGGTAGATGCAGTTTAATATAGACAAATGCAAAGTTCTAAATATTGGACAGGAAAATAACTATGCCACATATAAACCACATAATGTAGATCTTAATACTACTGATTGCAAAAAGGATTTAGGAGTTCTGGTTAGCAGTAATCTAAAACCAAGACAACAGTGCATTAGTGTTCGCAATAAAGCTAACAGAATTCTTGGCTTCACATCTAGAAGTATAAATAATAGAAGTCCTCAAAGGGTTTTTCTTCAACGTATATCCTTGGTTAGGCCCCCTTTAGACTAGCTGCTCATTTTTTTTGGGCACCGTATTAAAAGAATGGGTATAAATCCCCTGGAAAAAAGTAAAAGAGGAAGGGAAAACAAAGATGATCCCATGTAAACAAAAAACTTCCCCATGAGGAAAAAGTTTGAGGGCCCGAAACCCCACTCTCCCCGAAAAGGGGTAGAATTGGTGGGGATATGATCGAAAGGGGTAAAAGGGGAAAAAGAATAAATAAAGGGGATGTAAATAGCGGCTGAAAATTTCCAGCCAAGACAGGACTTTTAAACAATTTGGGTTTAAGTTTGGGAAAAATTCAGATTAAAGGGAAGGATAAGGAAAAACCCAAAGGTTTTTTAATAGAGTTTTGGGATGGGGTTTTAACAAAACTCCCGATACCCTTATTGAAGCTAAAAATTGGTTAAATTTTTAAAAAATAAAGGTTTTTTAAAATTTCATGAGTGGGGGGTTGGGGGGGTTTTGAGTTTTCACCAAAAAGCTTTGCTGCCTTTGGGGCTGGGTGCTGTGCCCCTTCCTTGAGTTTAGGTGGGCCCAACTGGGGGGGTCCTTTGGGCTTATCGGGGGGGGGGACCCCGGACCTTCCCGTTGGGTTTAGCAAGGCCCCCGCTTGAAATGTTCCTTCTTTCTTTATGTTCTTAATTTTCATCTCAACACCACACATCCCCATCACTGCAACCACCCTTTACCTCACAATACCTTTACACCCCATCACTGCACCACCTTCACACCCCATCACGCCCCCACCTCCCCCTACACCCATCACGGGGGCCCCCCTTTACCCACACCCCCATCACTGCAAAACCCCCTTCCCCCTCACACCCCATCACTGCAAACCCCCCCTTTACCTCAAAACCCCCCTCACTGCCCCACCCCTTCATCTCCCCTTTCCCATCACTGCAAACCCCCTTCACCTCAACCCCCCCCAACACTGCACCCTTCAAACCCCCACACCCCTCTCGCACCCCCTTCACCTCACACCCCTCACTGCACCACCTTCACCTCAAATAACCCCCTCACGGGAAACCCCCTTCACAATTCCCCAACCCCCATCACTGCACCACCTTCACCTCACAAACCCCGCCCCTGCACCCCCCCCCTTTAAACCCCACACCCCGTCTCTGCGCCACCTTTTACCTCCCCACCCCATTTTCTGCACCACCTTTCACCTCACACCCCCCCACTGCCCACTTTCACCTTTACAAACCCCCTCAAATGCAACCACCTTCACCCCCACCCCGTCCCCTGCAAACCCCCTTCACCTCCACACCCCATTTACTGCAACCCCCTTTACCCACACCCCATTACCGCCCCACCCACCTCCCCAACCCATTACGCCCCCACCTTCACCCCACCCCCCCATCAATGCACCACCTCACCTCAACCCCTCACTGCACCACCTTTACTACAAAACCCCAAAACACTGCACAACCTTCACCCCCCCAAAACCCCCTCTCTGCACCCCCCTTTACCCCACAAACCCCCTCACTGCCCACCTTTCACCTCACACCCCATCACTGCACCACCTTTCCCTTTACAACCCCCTCACGCACCATCTTTACTTCACACCCCATCACGCAAACCCCCCTTCACCCACACCCAACACGGGACCCCCTTCACTTCACACCCATCACTGCAAAACCCTCTTCACTTCACACCCCCATCACGCACCACCTTCACCCACACCCCATCACTTTCACCCCTTCACTTCACACCCCCATCACTGCACAACCTTCACCCCCCACCCCGTCTCTGCACCACCTTCACCTCACACCCCATTACTGGGAACCCCCTTTACCCCACACCCCCTTTACTGCACCCCTTACCTCACACTCCATCACGCACCCCCTTCCCCCTCACAAACCCCCATCACTGCACCACCTTTACCTCACCCCCATCACCACCACCTTCACCTCACCTCCCCTCACTGCACCACCCCACCTCACACTCCATCAAATGCACCACCCCCCACCTCCCACTCCATTTACTGCACCCCCTCCAAACCCCACGCTCCCCTCACTGCACCCCCTCACAACACCCCCCAACTCCAAACACTGCACCCACCTCCACCTCACCAAAACCTCACACTTTCTCACTGCCCCACCTCCACCTCACCAAAACCTCACACCCAACACACAAACCCCCCCACCTCACGCCCATCCCCGCCCCACCTCCACCTCCCCGCTCCCCTCACTGCAACCAACCCCACAACACCTCACACCCCCCCTGCAAACCCCCTCCCCCCACAACAACCCCCACACTCCATCATTGCACCACCCCCACCTCACAAAACCTCACACCCATCAAAGCACCACCTCCACCTCAAAAACACCCACACTCCCTTTACTGCACCACCTCCCCCCTCACGCCCTTTACTGGGACACCCCACCTCACGCCCCCAAACACTTTCACCAACCCCACAACACCCAAACTCCATCACTGCACCAAACCCCCACCTACAACACCTCACGCTCCCCTCACTGCACCCCCTCCACCCCACAACACCTCACGCCCATCACTGCAAACCCCCTTTCCCCCTCACCTTTTAAACACTGCACCCCCTCAAACACCCTCACGCTCCAAAATAAAAAAAGGAAAAAAAAAAAAAAAAAAAAAATTTTTTTAAAAAATTTTAAAATTTTTTTTTTGTTTTTTAATATAGGAATTAAAAAATAGAAATAATTATAATATATTAAATTTATAAAAAATAATTTATAAATAATTATAATTAAATAAAATTAAAATTTAATAAAATAATAACCCAAATCAAAAACCTCAAACCCTTTTACTGCCCACCTTTAAAATCAACTCCATCACTGGGAAACCCCCTTCACCTTTAAAACCCCAAACAATGCACCACCTCACCTCACACTCCATCACTGCACCCCCCTTTACCCCAAACTCCTTTACGGGACCACCTTTCCAA